TGCCTGTGCCCTTGTGCCAGCCGCCGTCCCTGGCCACCTCAAGCCTGACTAATTGGCCTTCTTGACAACCTTTTCAAGGTTGGCTTTTTCATTCCGTCTTCCTTCCTTTATGGGAGCAGAGGCCAGGATGGGGTGCCTGCCTTTCCCCCTCTCCACCTCTGAAGTCAGCTCACCTTCTGTCTTTAATTACTTCTGAACACAGAGCATCTGCCTCTGTGTCCTCTGGGCACAGGGATGGATTTGACTGTGAGATTGGTTTGTACTGTTTGCAGCGCATAGACACATGTGCACATGCTCTTCCCGGCGCGCATATGCACACACTCAGTACCTTGTGGTGATGCTCCGTTTCCTGCAGTTACGAAAAGTAGGCACCTCCCAAACTGCTCTCAAGGGAAAGGCATAATAATAATAATAATAATAATAATAATAATAATAATTTATTATTTATACCCCGCCCATCTGGCTGGGCTTCCCCAGCCACTCTGGGTGGCTTCCAACAAAATATTAAAATACAGTAATGCATCAAACATTAAAAGCTTCTCTAAACAGGGCTGCCTTCAGATGTCTTCTAAAAGTCTGGTAGTTGTTTTTCTCTTTGACATCTGGTGGGAGGGCGTTCCACAGGGCGGGTGCCACTACCGAGAAGGCCCTCTGCCTGGTTCCTTGTAACTTGGCTTCTTGCAGTGAGGGAACCGCCAGAAGGCCCTCGGTGCTGGACCTCAGTGTCTGGGCCGAATGATGGGGGTGGAGACGCTCCTTCAGATATACTGGACCGAGGCCGTTTAGGGCTTTAAAGGTCAGCACCAACACTTTGAATTGCGCTCCGAAACGTACTGTTAGTTAAAACTGTGGGCCTCGCTCCCACAGGAAGCAGTAACAGCCACCACCATAGATGACTTTAAAAGAGAATTGGACAAATTCATGGAGGAGAGGGTCATTGATGATTCTGTTCTGCCCCTATTGTCAGATGCTTCTGGATCCCAGTTGCCACAGGAGAGGAGAGTTGCTCTTGTGCGCGGATCCTGCTTGAACGTTTCCCACAGGCATCTGGTTGGCCACCGTGAAAACATTTTGCTACTGGCGCAGGTCCAATTGCGTTGAGGTTTCTGGGCACCAAGTTGGCAACCACAGACCTTAGTTCACAGTTCACAGACCTTTTCCATTTCCACTGTGTGTGTCTTTCTCCTCCTCGCATTCTGAGACAAGCGAATTCTTGTAAGAGCAAGCTACAGCCAAGCCATTTAGTTGAGATCATAGAATCGTAGCATCGGAAGGGGACTGTAACCTTGATTTAAGGTGCACCTAGCTGGCGCTGTGGGTTAAAGCCTCAGCGCCTAGGGCTTGCCGATTGAAAGGTCGGCGGTTCGAATCCCCATGACGGGGTGAGCTCCCGTTGCTCGGTCCCAGCGCCTGCTAACCTAGCAGTTCGAAAGCACCTCCGGGTGCAAGTAGATAAATAGGGACCGCTTACTGGCGGGAAGGTAAACGGCGTTTCCGTGTGCTGCGCTGGTTCGCCAGATGCAGCTTCGTCACGCTGGCCACGTGACCCGGAAGTGTCTGCGGACAGCGCTGGCTCCCGGCCTCTTGAGTGAGATGGGCGCACAACCCTAGAGTCTGTCAAGACTGGCCCGTATGGGCAGGGGTATAAAAAAAAAAAAGCAAGCTTATGTATCTTGAGTTTCCAGCCCTGAGTGTTAGTTCACTTGTTTTGGGGGGAAAGGTTACTGTAATTGGCAAAATGTGCGACTGAATTGTTAAATATATTAACGTTGACGACGTACATTATTCATTTTTTATATATATTTTCCAACCTTGGAAGAAGAAAAAAAATGAGCCTAGACGTTCCATTGTGGCAACCACAACCTCAGTTTAAGGTACCACTTGGCAAATTGCTTACACATCTGAGTTTCTTACACCAAAAGTTGATTCTCGACCACTGAGCCATAGCTCTAACCCAATTGCTTCTGCATGAGCAGATTTCTGCAGTTGATGTTGGTGGGTGTCTGCACTCTGTCTGCAGCTGGCGAGGCAGTTTCTTCAGTTGTTGGCAAACTGTTTAATTGCTGGGACCTTAATTAGTTTACCCTGAGATGTCCGTCTTCTCCTCAGCTCAAAAAAAATAATTTAAAAAAATGGTTTGAGCTCCTTCTGCTTCTCAATTCAGTCCATAAATGGATTTTTGAGATAGAAGCATCAGAGATGTGCGCGCACACACACACACCTACCTCTTATTCATTTGGATAATGTGCTAATTCTATCAGTGTGTGTATTCCGGAAAGCAAAAAGGCATAAGTGACTGCCTTGCAGCTGATGATATTTCCAGATGGGTCCTTGATCCTGAAAAAAACCACTACCTGCCTCTGGTCTGAATGCTGTGACATTTCGGACACATGTTCCATGCACCCTCCAGCCCAGCCTGCCCTATGATAATAAAGGCTAAAGCCACACAAGCTTGCAGCAGCTGGTGCTGTTAGATGAGCTTCCATAAGTAAAGGATGGAGAACCTTTCTCAGTCTGAGGGCCGCATTGCTTTTTGGGCAGGTTTCCGAGGGCCGCATGCCAGTAATTGGCAGGGTCAGAAGCAAAGGTTGCTGGAGCAATGGATGGAAATTCCACTTTTCTACAGTGGTCTTATTTCTACACACACCTCTCTCTATCCTCCATCCCAGTGTTTGAAATTAGCCAGGCGCATTTTGCTCCTGACTTGCGACCGAGTAAAAATGCCTTTGCCTAGGATGGCACTTGACATCTCCACCATCTGGGGATCATTGGATCTGGACTGTTTTCACACACTTATACCCCATCCTGTAGAATTATATCAGTCATATTTTATCCGCACAATCAGAATGAATTTCTGGATCCAGATTGCTTTTTCTGAGCTGCCTGAGCAAGAGCAGTCAGTATTAAGAAAAAGAGGTTGGAATAGGCCAATAGATATGTGGACTGTCCCTGGATCAAATGACTTTTCTTCTTTAAGTTCTCCAAGCTCTTGACCTAGCTCAAGGTTGTCATCTGAACTAGCCAGATGTTTAACTGATAATCACAGTCTGGCCATCTTTTGAACAAGAAGACTTTGGAGCCACCTTGCCCCCAGATGGAAACTAGACATTCCATTTTGGTGACTGCAGCCTTGGTTTAAGGACCCATTTGGCGCCTAACTTATTTATATGAGTTTCTAACACTGTGGCAAGCAAGAAACATTTCCAGAGTTCAAGGATATATTCCAGCCAGGCAAAAGCACCCAGGGAGGGTGCAAAGCAGGGTCAGCAGGAATGTGGCCCTTGGGAGTCCCGAGGGCCAAATAACAGGAATTGGAGGCCACATTTTGGTGGCCCTGGGTTGATGTTTTCCACCCCTGCGTTGGCACTTAAAGATGCTATTGTCCACATTTCCTTATTCCCTTTCGGGGTTCTGCTGTGTTACTTCGCTGTTGTTAAATCCAGGACTTTTCAGCTTGTTTCCGCAACCCTTGAGCGAGACGAGAACCAGTAGTCCCTTGTGGAACGATAAGCTGAACATCAGTCTAACTAAGCCAGTGCTGCCTTGAAAGCACTTGAATGTGTATTTCTAGACTAGGGGAGGAATTCAGTTTTATCAGTGGAAGCCTTTCTGCTGGCCAGATGGAACAATCCTCCTCTCCTTCCTGCTTCCCACTGTGCTGTTCTGGGGGTTCCCCTGGCTCTCCAGAAAGGATTTGGGGATGCCCTCTTGCACCAGCAGGAGCTTTCACGTTGACATCTGCTTGCCTACTGGGCTGGTTGAATCCGGGCCTTGCAGTTTTAAAAGTTAGGCTGGGCATTGGAGACAGGTGGAATCACAGAATCATAGCACTGGGAGGGACCAAAAGGGTCGTGCAGTCCAACCCTCCCTGCAAAGCAGGAATCTTTTTGCCCAACGTGGGGCTTGAACCCACGACCCCAAGAGTAACAGCCTCATGCTCTTACCAACTGAGCTATCCTTTCTTCTGGCGGATACAGGGGGGCTGCCATTACCAAGGGGCTGCAGTACTCCTTAGTGCAGTTGACCCCGGCTTGAAGTCAGCTCCTCTTGGATCGGAGCTTGAAAGCAAGCCACGCCCCAAAGGAAGAAAACAGGCCACATGACAACGTGTCAGGTGATGGACAGGTGGGGCCCACTGGAGGTGGGGGAACCCAGGATCTGGCCTGCTGAGTGGAAGAGATTCCCTGCCCTGTCTTAGAGAATAAAGCTGTCGACAGCTACCAGCCACTGTAGCTGTGCTTTCATAGTCAGAGGCAATGCTTCTGAGTACCAGTTGCTGGAAACTGCAGGAGGGGAGAGGGCTCTTGTGCTCGGATCCTGCTAACGGGCTTTACATTGGGGCATTTGGTTGGCCACTGTGAGAGTAGGATTCTGGACTAGATGGGCCACTGAAGGAGGTGCTGGTTCCTCTGGCCTGATTCAATCTACAATGTAGATGTTGACAATAGTCCGTTGTCCTAAACAAAATTACAATGGTACCTTGGGTTAAGTACTTAATTCGTTCCGGAAGTCTGTTCTTAACCTGAAACAGTTCTTAACCTGAAGCACCACTTTAGCTAATGGGGCCTCCCACTGCTGCCGCACCGCCGGAGCACGATTTCTGTTCTCATCCTGAAGCAAAGTTCTTAATCTGAAGCACTATTTCTGGGTTAGCAGAGTCTGTAACCTGAAGCATATATAACCTGAAGCGTATGTAACCTGAGGTACCACTGTACTTAGAAGTAAGTTCCCTTACAGTTGCTGGAGAGAAGGAATAAAATAAAACAAAATCTCTGCACAGAGGGGAATCGTTCAGGAGAAAATCAGTGTGTTCTCTGGGCTGTGACTTTTCCCAACCTAAGGACAGTCGGAGATTTGGCGCCTTGTGCAAACAGAGGTCTTGCTTCACTTCTCGCCGCACAAACCATCGCTCTGTTTTCGTTGCAGTCCGGCCGGTAACCATGGAAACCATTTTGTCTCCCCCTCCCTCCTTTTCCCTCTTTTGCCGTTCCCCTCTACAGATGACTCTGGTGATGAGGAGCCAGCCTCGCAGTCTGACAAGAGCGAACTGCACGGCACTCTGAAAAGCCTCTCGAGTAAGCTGGAGGATCTCAGCACTTGCAACGACCTCATCGCCAAGCATGGGGCAGCCCTCCAGAGGTCCCTGAGTGAGCTGGAGAACCTCAAGCTGCCCGCCGAGAGCGGGGAGAAGATCAAGGCGGTCAACGAGAGAGCCACCCTCTTCAGGATCACCTCCAATGCTATGATAAATGTAAGTGGAGCACAGGTCCTGGCTGTAGAGGCTGGTGGCAGGTGCACAACGCCTCTCCTACCTAACACACGATTTCTGCAGGCAGGCAGTGGTAGCAGTAGGCAGGTAAGTGTCATAGGAACCTGCAAGGATGGACATGCTCACAAGACGCCTTCTGCAGCCTGGAATTTTAATTCTCTTCCACTTCGAGCTCTCGGAAGATCTCAGCCTTGAATATGAAATGGCAGGATTCCATTCCCCGATTTGCCGTGTTTCTCATTTGAGCAGTCTAGGTTTACCTGTGAAAAGTGAAGCCTTGAGCACATCTTGAGTTGTCTCTTCTATCGAAGTCCCTGCTAGTGTTTGATACAGTTCAAGGTCAGGTGTATTGCTGTGGTTTGCTGTTTGCAAGACTAGGTTGTGAGGGTCTGGTTTAATATTAGTATGGCTTTATTTTTATTTTGTTAATCTGTTTCGTTTCTGTGTGCTGCCCTGGGATCCTGTGGATGAAGGGTAGCCAATAAATGGAATGAATAAATCAAAAAAGGTGTCCACACAATCTATAGTAATAGCTGAAAGAGCATATGAGATACGCCGGCAAATTGCATTGTTTGTTGAAAGTACCAGAAGACTGGTGAATTTTTGACTTTGTGGTGCTAAATTTTCTAAGGGCTCTTAAGCTAAATGTTATTTATTTGAAAGTGTCTATTCCTTCCTTGGTCCTCCTTGCCTGTTGCTACCAGTTAGACATGCCTAAGAGGTCTGGGCCCTGGCTGACTGGGGGACAACATTTATTACAGAATAAGATTTAGTGTCTTTGCCGTTACTTGGATTGTGTTTCTGTACTTCTGTTATTGGCCTTCATATCAGTTATTAGAGGATTGTTTAACCTTACTGTGTTTTTTATTCATATGAAAAATCTGCTTGGGCTATTGATATTTGTATGGCTTTCTTTGCTAACTTGCTAGCCGTCATAAAAATTTTTTTTTCTTGAAATGCTGCTGTAGTTCGTTACGTAAACTTTCCTGGCAATGTTGTCAGCACCTTTGAACTTGGTTTAACAATGAGACAGAGGAGGGGGAAATGAACTGATGAGGATACCAAGTTGCTGGAGACTTCAAATTGCAGATGGTTGAAGCTGGGGTGCCAACATCCCATGCCACGATCTTCCTGGTTCTGATTCTGGAAGGGGCCATCATGTACCACTGCCAGCTGTAAAAAAACCCCAAACCCACCAAGATCTGTTGTGCGGCAACTAATTGCCATGGGAATTGCTTGGGCAGCGGTAACCAACATGGTGCCCTCCACCCCCAGCCAGCATGGCCAGTTGTCAGGTATGATGGGACTTGTAGTCCAACGCATCTGGAGGGGCCATCACATGGACTGTCCCTGCACTAGGGCAAGCATCCCCAAACTCGGCCCTCCAGATGTTTTGGTACTACAACTCCCATGATCCCTAGCTAACAGGACCAGTGGTCAGGGATGATGGGAATTGTAGTCACAAAACATCTGGAGGGCCAAGTTTGGGGGTCCCTGCACTAGGGCATCTCTGCACCAGTCTCCCCACCACCACTTTCTCCCCTGCGATAGTGGAGAGACAAATCTTGCTGACGCTTGGACCTGATCATTTCTTACGTGGGTTTGCTGACTCACAGCAACATTGGGAACTGCTTTATGCAGAGTCATTGGTCCATCTAGCTCATTGTCGCCTGTGTTGACTCTCTAGGGCAGCGGTTCTCAACCTGTGGGTCCCCAGGTGTTGTTGGACTACAACTCCCATCATCCCTGAGCTCTGGCCTTGCTAGCTAGGGGTGATGGGAGTTGTAGTTCAACGACATCTGGGGACCCACAGGTTGAGAAAGGCTGCTCTAGGGTTTCAGATAGGGGTTTCTCCCAGCCCTTACCTGGAGATGCTTGGGGTTTGCACCTGTGACCTTCTGCATGCAAGGCAGATGCTTTGCAACTGAGCTTTGACCCCCAACCCCTTCATCGGAAGCTGTGGAAAAAGTCAGACCGATGGTCCATCTAGCTGAGTATTGTCTACATTGACTGGAAGTGGCTCTCCAGGGTTTCGGACAAGGGACTTCCCTGTCCTACCTGGAGATGCCTCAATCTGTGACCTGCATGCAAAGCAGAGGCCCTGGCACTGAGACACTGCCCTCCTTTTGCCTTGTGCTTGTCTCTGACCTCCTTCGCCCTACTGTTCTCCTTGCCTTCTTATTCCTTTCCATGCCTCAATGCTTTCCTCCCAAATCAGAACCGATTCAGCTGGCCTCTTTTTTGCTTCCAATTAGCAGAATTGGTACTGGGGCTCTGAAGGGCTGGAGTTCAGCTGAAATGTCGATACTTTTTTATTCTGCTCACACCCCAGTTTTAAAAAAAGAAAGAGGAACAAAGAGTTTTCTTCCTCCGAAAGGCATGTCAGAGATGTGAGTGGGCTGGCTTGGTCTATTTGGGATGGGCTAGTTTTGCTTCGATCAACTTGGGAGACCATGCAGACGTTCAGAGGCTGGCGCTGCAAGGGAGAAGAGACTCCTTAACTCTAAAACAGACTTGCTGTGAGTGGGGTTGTGTGTGTGAGAAGGGGGAGGGAGATGTGCGTCTCTGCGTGTTTCATTAATGCAAAGTCCTCTGTGCTTTATTCCTGCATTCGTGATCCAATTATGCAAATACCACAAAGAAGAGATTTGAAAAATCGGAAGTAAAAAGGGCCATGCATCCTAAGATAACTCAGCTGTAATTTCTGGATCAAGTTTGTAACCGAGAGCAGAATTTGGATTGCTTTATTCCACCCCACCGAAAATGATGGCCAACACAGCTCAGCTGTGTACATGGACTTCATTTGTGAAGCATGTAGCAAACTTCTAATGCCAGGCTGGGCAGATTTCAGGTTTACAGGATCAACTTTGTTGGTTGTTTTTTATTTAAACCCCCCCCCCCCGAATCCCAATAATCTACTAACCAAAGGCTAGTGCAAAATAAAGGTAAAGGTAAAGGTACCCCTGCCCATACGGGCCAGTCTTGACCGACTCTGGGGTTGTGCGCCCATCTCACTCAAGAGGCCGGGGGCCAGCGCTGTCCGGAGACACTTCCGGGTCACGTGGCCAGCGTGACAAAGCTGCATCTGGCGAGCCAGCGCACCACACGGAACGCCGTTTACCTTCCCGCTGGTAAGCGGTCCCTATTTATCTACTTGCACCCGGGGGTGCTTTCGAACTGCTAGGTTGGCAGGTGCTGGGACCGAGCAGCGGGAGCGCACCCCGCCGCGGGGATTCGAACCGCCGACCTTTCGATCGGCAAGCCCTAGGCGCTGAGGCTTTTACCCACAGCGCCACCCGCGTCCCTTAGTGCAAAATATATAGACTTAAAATTAAATTCTTTTTAAACCCAGGAATATTCCCAAAACAGAGAGCTATAAAAAAACCCAATGCACTTCTGTTTACTCCAAACTTTCTTCATTTCAGCAGAATAAAAATTAGGGTGGGGGAGTCATTTTTGTCACTGCTATTGTTCAACATTTCGGAGTCAGCAGTCCTTGCCGAAGCTACTGCAAATCATTCAGAGATCTGCCTGCAGGTCCAGACCTGTCTTCTTTCCCTCCTGGTGACTTAATTAGGATAATCTTGATTAGAAAAACGCAAATGTAGTTAGGCCGTTGGCGGATGCATCCCAGGTCTTCGTGTATGCTGCAGCAATCTTGTAAAAAACAATGTGTTGCGATGTCTGTGTGCTAATCCATCACAGCGGCAGCGAAGTATCTCATGTTAATTGGTTAGCTGTGTAAAAGTCTTGATGCTTCTCTGAGCATCAAAGGCCCAAAGCGCTGTAGTAGATTTAAAACAAAAACAAAACCCTACCTGGTTTTCAGGAATATATAAAGCCTCTCTTCTCACCTGCATTTCCACATCTCTCTACCTATCAGCCATGCCCAGTTATTCCAGTTTCCCGAAGCTACTGATTTTGTAATGGAAGAAGAATCAGTGTTGTTCCCTTTCGGAGTGACGTACTCAGTGTTTTTTTGCCGCCTTCGTCCTGAGAAAGGGCCTATTCTCTCACAGATGTCAACGCATAAAATCCTGGCATATTTATTTTATTCCTTTATTTCTAATATCTTTATGCTCCCTACCAGGGTGACGCCCCCCCCGGAAGGTGGCTCAACATAACATGATTAAAAATGCAATATTATTCTTTTTATTTATTCATTTATGTACTGCCAACTCATATAAGATATATCTATCTATCTCAATGTGGCGTACAGAATCTCAATTAAAACCAAAACGGCATAAAAACAAAGCATAATAAATTGAAGAAGTAGGAAAATGGGTCATCTTACAAGAAGGTTATAAAAACAAATAAATCATTTTCGGCAGGCTCTCTGAGAGGCTTGCATACAACTTATGACAAAAAGATGGTGCAGTTTAAAACTGTAATCTCTAACATACATTACAGAACAGCATAACATATTGATAAAACAGTGACAGCACCCATTTTAACAATAAAAACACATTTTTAAATGTCAAGGGTCAAAGAGCAGCTGTGAAGTACTATACTGTCTGTAGTTTTATACTTTTTCACTTTAAAGTTTGCTCTAGAGTAGATCTACACACAGGAATAAACCGCTATAAATAAGTCAGAAATAAAATCGTTAAAAAAACAATGCCATGGAAAATCAGTTAGAATATTTTTTTTGCTCTCTGGCGCCATCTGGTGCTGCATGTTTATAATACAGTGGTGCCTCGCAAGACAAAAATAATCCGTTCCGCGAGTCTCTTCGTCTAGCGGTTTTTTCGTCTTGTGAAGCAACCCTCTTAGCGGATTAGCGCTATTAGCGGCTTAGCGGCTATTAAAGGCTTAGCGGCTAAAAGGCTATTAGCGGCTTAGCGGCTTAGAAAAAGGGGGGGGGAGCGAAAAAAAATCGCAAGACTCGCAAGACGTTTTCGTCTTGCGAAGCAAGCCCATAGGGAAAATCGTCTTGCGAAGCAACTCAAAAATGGAAAACCCTTTCATCTAGTGGGTTTTTC